CCACTGAAAACAGATTTTAACAAAAAACCCAGGTGCCCCCCCCCCGCATCTGCAGTCTGTCCTCCCCGCCTGGAGCTGCTCCAAGCTGGGATCTATTTCTCCTCAGATCCCAGAGTGATTTACATCACTTCCTGTTCATTCATGAGTTTCCCAATGGGGAGAACTCACTACAGAGGCTACCCATTCATAACTAGATGATCATAAATATTTTACCATCTGCAGTTTGTAAATTAATTGAAGCCATTGTACTGAGTGCTTTCCATTCATTCAGAACGGAGGCTGCAGAAAAAGAGATTGAAAACTGTGTTCTCAATTTATTTTTATATTTCTAAAAGAAAATGGCAGGGGTCTGTTTAGACCAGATACTTCCCCAAAGCCCCCAAAACAGTAAAAAAAATAAAATAAAAAAACACAAACTCCCCCCCCCCCACACCGAGAAAAAAAACACGCGAAAAAAAAAAAAAACACTAACCCCCCCCCCCCCCACACAGAGATAACATACACGTGCACCATATTGTGGTGTACGCCATGCACAGCGTTGTTAGAATGCATCACAGTGCTTGATTTTCTTTTTAAATAACATTAATTTAACTGTGTGGCTGCACATGGTAAAGCGTTGTGACGCATTGCTGTGCGTTGTGATATGCCGTGTTGCGATTAAATGTACTCCTGTATCATTTTATTACAACACACACCAACACAGTGTACAAACGATTTTTAACGTAAGTTGCTTATTTAGTTGTGCGTTAATTCATTTTTTTTACCATTTCGCAAAATGGCACAAACTTTACCAATATTTGTTATTTATTAGCTCAATATAGTTTTATCTTTTAGATTTAGTCAGAAAAGTATTTTTTTGTGCAGATACTGATTTTAGTGTGCTTTTATCAATTTCATTGTGTATTTTTATTGGTTTAATTTTGATTTGACAATCATTTGCGCAATTATCGCAGGACCTACAAAATTAGTAGCACCATCTTTTTATTCTACCGGGCCTGTGCTTTTAGAAATGTATATGGTATGGGGGGTCTTTTACCAATGCTAACGCAGTAGAAAATCAAAACATTGGTAAAAATTGCAAACATGGTGTGGCCAGCTGAGGTTAAAAGCGTTCCAGAGGGCTTGGCAGTGAAAGGGTTAAAAATTGCTATTGTTAATCCACACACCCAGCAGTATGTGCCTTGAATATTGGCTGTTCTAATAGGCAACTACCAAACTTCCTTAACACTTTACAATTTAGTTCTCTCCTTATTGCCACTTTTTTTTTTTTTTAAGACAGCAAAAGCTGCATTGTTACTGTGGATTTTTTTTATTGTTTTATTTGGACCATAAGCTGGTCAACCTGACCCTTTAGGATGTAAGGAAATACAAGCTACATTTTTACATTATTAAAGGGACAACAAAAAAGCAGCATATAACAACTGCATGCTCTGAATGATATAGCATAAGCCTCCCTAATAACAATGTTTTAGGGTGGACAACTTAATGCAGAAAACAGGAGCAGTTCAGAATAGTATCTATTTAACATTTTATATAATACCAACAAAAAAAATTAGGAAATACAGAAACAAAAAACACAAAAAAATTACATTGTAAACAAACAATCCTACTGTCATTCCCTTAAAAAATGTCATGGATTCTTAAAGTGTATGTATGGGCAAAATCTCAAAGAAAGTTAACATTTAAATTAATTAAATTCGTTCTCCAATACATCCACATTTACCCACGTTATGTCTCTTTAAAAACATTGCAAGTACTGTAAAAACCTGATGATCCTACCAGAAATGCAGTCAGCTCCCAACTTCCTGTAGTGTGATATCAATGCTGTCACTGCTGAACTACGAGCAGCACAGTGGCTAGCGCTTCTGCCTTGCAGCACTGGGAGTCCCTGGTTCGAATCCTGGCCAGGTCACTATTTGCAAAGGAGTTTGCATGTTCTCCCTGTGCTTGCGTGGGTCTCCTCCGGGTACTCCGGTTTCCTCCCACACTCCAAAGACATGCTGGTAGGTAAATTGGCTCCTGTCTAAATTGGCCCAGTATGTATGCGAGATGGGGACCTTAGATTGTGAGCTCCTTGAGTGCAGGGACTGATGTGAATGTGTAACTATGTAAAGCGCTGCATAAATGGTTGGCGCTATATAAATACCTGTAATAAATAAGTAAAAAGGCAGGACAGAAACAGCATCTACCTGGTATGGAAGGGGGACAAGTGCTAAGATTTTTGGAGATGAGGAGAGGGAAATGCGTTGAGCTCGTAAAGCAGACTATAACAAAATGTATGCCTAGTAAAGGCAGCAGGTAGCAGAGTGCATTTCCAACAGAATCACTGAATACATTTCCAGTACTTGTAGGGGTTTTTTTTTAATAAGACAAAACATGGGAAAAGGTGCTAGCATTGGAGAGCTGTGCCAAATATGTTTATTTTAGATTTTGCCCGTATACAGTTCAAAAGTGCCTTTTATAGATCTCCAAAAAGACATCTGCTATAACAGTTCTTAGGAACTAACTAGCCTTTGCAATTTGTCCAGCTCTGCAATATGTGTCAATATGGTTACAAATAAATAGAGTTCTCTTCTTACCTGTGATATATGATTGATGGAGGATTCCATCCTTACCTGTGATATATGATTGATAGAGGATTCCATCCTTCTGAGCTGAGAAGCCTGAATATCGAGCATCTGAAGGACATTGTTGGCTAAGGTGTTAATGAGATAAGCAACACTAGCTAGGGACTGTGTTGTATAGGCTTTGGTTTCTTCAAGGGCTCTTTGCTTATCTGCAGACTGAAAGGAAGGAAGCCACATAAGCAAATCATATTTACATATGATATCCACCTGCTTGTCTGACTTACTGAAAAAAATCAAGAGGAACTCCACTGCTCCCATTCCACTATTACTACAGTCTTGCATGGCTTTGCTTAAACCAGCAATAGACTAGGCACACACATACAGGTGAAACTCGAATAATTAGAATATTGTGCAAAGTTCATTTATTTCACTAATGCAACTTAAAAGGTGAAACTAATATACGAGATAGACTCATCTCATCTTATATGCAAAGCAAGATAATTCAAGCTGTGATTTGTCATAATTGTGATGATTATGGCTTACAGCTCATGAAAACCCCAAGAACCCCAAATCCACAACCTCAAAAAAGTAGATTACATGCAATCAATAAAACAAGGATTGTACATAGAACAATATCGGACCTCTGAAAAGTACAAGCATGCATATGTACTCAGTACTTGGTTTGGGCCCCTTTTGCAGCACTTACTGCAATTACTTTTGCACGATATTCTAATTATTCGAGTTTCACCTGTACACTCCCTTTTTTAAGTACGTATATAAAGTACATGTAGTGGTAAAGTATACTGGGGGAATGCATCAAAACTGGAGCAGAAAAATCTGGAGCAGTTGCCTATGGCAACCAATCAGCTTCTCTCTTCAGTTTGTTCAGTTAAGGTTTGAAAATGAAAGATAGATGCCGATTGGTTGCAATGGGCAACTGCTCCAGATTGTGTCTGCTCCAGTATTGATAAATTCCCCTAACTGTATGTATATTTGTAACAGCAAACTGTATGTATATTTGTAACAGCAAGAAAAAAAACCTGCATTTTATATGTATGCGTCAAAGCAGAGAGAAGAGAACACTGGAACAGACTAGTGTTATGACAGTTATAATGGGTAGCTAACTTGTCATCTGAAAACCTGAAAAAGTTAATTATAGTCCATAACATAATATGTAGGCATTACTATCCATTTGTGCTTTCCAGCCAGAGACTGCTACTTTCAGTAAAAACCCAAATTTAATGAAGAAATGCCATTAACTAAGACACCATGAAAGAACCACCAGGCCCCCATCATGTAGTCTCTCTAGGGCCAGGAGCAAGCCAAATTTAGCTACTCAGTGCACCCCAAATGCAGTAATCAGGGGGGAAAAAAAGAAGAAGATCGGTAAATCGTACATTACATTTCTTTCTGCACAGATGACGCGGGCGTCATTATTGGGCTGGCAACTAGGAAGAAGTTGGCCACCAATTATGTCAATTTCTTTAAAATGACAGTAGGCTTTTCAGTGTGGAGTGAACAAAGCAAGATAACAGCAAGTCAGCTCAGGCAAGTCACAGTAAGAAGGTGAGCTTTAAGCACATAAAGAATGCAGTAAAAAAAAAAAAAAAAGAACACATGAGGCACACATGAGGCACACAAAAGAACACGAGGCAAAAAAAAATATTTCACATGTGAATATAGTATTCCACAGCTACTGTAGTTGCCCATCTAAAAGTAGTGGTGCTGGGAACCACTTAAACCAAGTCTAGAAACATACCACTCTCATATGTTTGTGTTCACTTTCACCAAAAGGCATCTGGTGCTCACACCCATTTTCCCTACCCTAAGAAAACTAGGACAGCATGCCATACAGCCTGACATATGATTTTGGTCCAGACTTCCAAATACTATTCATCTAAAGCTAAATTTATTTATTTCCTAAGATTCCAATTGTGCCACGCATGGGTATGATAATGTGTGTACTTCAAATGTCACAGTAGCAGTAAAAATAGGATTTTGTCTTCCCTGTAACATCCCTCTCTTTAGGTACATTACAGGACACAGGATGGTATTCAGGAACGTACTTATATGCTTGGATTTGAATCCTGAGGCTTGGCAAGCATGAAAGGAACCCTTCTTGAAGGAAGAAGCAGAGTATTTTTCTGGCAGAAGCTTGGACTTCTTCTGAGGCAAGAAGCTGCTCTTGACCCCTGATATTTACTTGATATAAGTAACCAAGGGTTCCCCAAACAGGCGTCTTGCAAAGAAGCTCCACAGATCAACATTTAAGCCATAGGTTCTGTCTCATGTGAAAATTTGTTTAAGGGTATCCGCCAGGCAATCTATGCAGTAGTACAAGGCCACAGGAAAGAATTCTAGCTATTTTAGAGCAGCGGGATCTGTCAAGATGGATCAAAAGGTCCCTAATCATAGCTTTGGACCATACAGCTTTGACTGACTGCCAAAGTGGCAACAGCAACAATCCTTGAAAACAGGAACTTCCATTACAGAGAAGGTCTTGTTCAACCAAGAAATAGCTAGACCTACAAGAAGAGCAACCCATCTTCAATAGGGTTTTGCTGAGCAAACCATTTGAGGGATAAACAGTCACCAGGGATCTCCCAGTCACCATACAACACCAGCTATAAAAGCATTTGTACACAGAAGGTTTTGGGAAGTTTGAGCATTTTAAATGAACCCAGACTAGTGGCCCTTGGCAAGACTGATGCAGGTGGCTCTGACTGTAAACAATCACGCATCATGTCCACAAGTTCAGAGATAGTGTTCTTGAGCTTAGGAAAGATGTTAGGAGACAGGTCCTCTTCCTGGGCTGAGACCATGGAACTGGAAACAGCCCCTTCTCTTTTCTTTCTTAGGGAATCCACAAGCAGATAGAGGAAGGTCAGAGAGGAAATCTGAATGGTAAGGAGAGGGTACATGCTTGTGCCCACTGCGGTCTGAGGACTTCAATAGTTAAAAATTTGCCCAACAAAGTCAGCCATTACTGAAGTAAGCTCATGTCAGGACAGCAGGGTAGAAGAGGGTGCCTTGTAGGCTAATGAAGAGGACCCTGAGGGAGGGAGTGACAGGTAGGGCTGCAACAACTAATCCAATTATAATTGATGATGGAAAACGCTATCAATGTTTTCCATCATCATTATTTGACTTTCGATTAGTCGCCCTGCTTGCGGCTCCACACTGGCCGCGCCCTGCTTCTCCTCCCCACCTCACCCGGCTCTGAGCTCTCACTGACTTGCCGCTGCCCGCCAACGCCATCCACGATCGGCACCCACGATCAGTAGGATTGTCACAGGAAGACTGAACTTGAAGCCAGGAGGAGCAGGTGTGGGGGGACGGCAGCTGCCGGCAGACAGGCCCACGATTTCATGGAAGAAAATTGCTTGGAGAGTTTTTAGGCAAGACTGCCTGCACCCCTTCCGCCCCAACATGGTGCTGTATTAATGTATTGCTGGGATAGTGGGATTTGTTTCCTCTATAGCTGATGGTACATTGCGCTATTATAAAGAGCAATGTACCATCAGCTATAGAGGAATACAAATCCCAGCAATACATTATAGCTGGTGGTATTCTGCATTGCGCTGCTGTATAATGTACTATTGCTGGGATTTGCTGTATACCTCTATAGCTGGTGGTATTCTGCATTGCGCTGCTGTATAATGTATTATTGCTGGGATTTGTTGTATTACTCAATACAAACTAGTAGTACATCACTGGAGCCATTTTTTTTTCTTAATTTTTTATTATTTTTATACACAGCCCCAGTGACAGGGAGAAGAAACCGAGCATAGGTCTAGCAGAAACAGTGTACCCAGAGGGGACAGAACCTTCCCCCAAGCCATTGTCGGACTGGTGACTTGTAAAGTACAGACAACAATGAAGGGAGGTGGGTGGCAGTTTAAACCTCTACTCTGTCCAGCTGCTGTGGCCGTAAACATGTTAAAAAGGTAAAATTCTTCCAAAATTAATAAATGGCCGGAATGTAAATTACATACCTAGAAATATATTCCCATCTTGGAGTTGAATATAGTTAAAAGCTTAACGCCAGGCAATGCGAGTTCTCAACTTCTCACACGGTTCATATCCAGGGAGAAAAATTCCCTATATACTGATCAGAATGGGTTTTTTTAACATATGCTATAGGATCAAATAGTCGTGTCAGCTCCCCCAAAGTGGTGCACAGTGATGTCCCGAGCTTGTTCACCCCAGTCTGTGCAAAACTGTCACTGACACAGCCCAATCAGTTACAGGTGGGACATTCCCCATCCTGCAGCTACACATCACAATGGGACAAGGAATGCCCCAGCCCCTACTGATTGGGGGGTTTCGGTGACAGTTATGCACAGGTTTCGGTGAACGTGCGCCTACTTGGTTCACACCAAACCACTGCACATTACTAGTCCTGCACTAGTAGTCCTCACAAACTGCCCAAAAAAAAACCACCACCACTTAGGAAAAGCAATGGCATAGGGATGTATAAGGGGAAAATCTTTGCGTATGGACTTCAATTTATATTTCTTTTTTATCAAACATAATAGAAAAACATATTACATAGCAGGATGTTTTATTCTGAAAACAATCTCTATTTTTAAACATGACAATTTTGATGACAAACATCAACTATTTTGACAGTCTTCTTAAAAAGAACGCAAATGCCAGAATGCAGAGAAAGCATCTTTGTAGAGTCCTTCCAGTAATTTTTGTTTTACATTATAAGCAATTGAAAGATAATTAATTAGCTGCTAAACAGATAGCAAGAAATAGCTTCTAAATGATCTGAAACGATTTAGATACCCAATGAACTTAAATGACCAGAACACCAACCTAAAGGATCGCACAACTTTCATCTCTTTAAGTGCCCATTCACACTGGGCGTTCAATTGCACGATTTCTGCCACGACATCACTCCATGTCGCTCGTGCGGGACCCTTTTTCCCACTGATGTCGCACGACTTTTCTATTTTTGCATGCAACCCGACGGTGAAGGTCGCTGGAACGTCGTCCGAACAGTCGCGCTATGCCTGGCCGCGCGGATCCACTCGAGGCAAGTGTCGCTTAGTGTGAATGGGGCCTAAAGTGCTTTAAGACTGTGCCAGACGCCCTCACTAATGGTGATCAGTCACAGTGACTTATCTAAAACCAGTTGCTGCAGTCCATCACCAGCCCTTCCCATCTCTCCTAAAAATGCCTGGCAGTGTCGCCTCATCCTAACTCCA